AGCCTAGCTCACAGCAACCTCAAACTCCTGGGCTCAAGCAATCCTCCTACCTTAGCCTCCTGAGTAGCTGGACTGCAGGTGTGCGCCACTATGCCCAGCTAATTTTTTCTATTTTTAATTGTCCAGCTAATTTTCCATCTATTTTTAGTAGAGACGGGGTCTCGCTCTTGCTGAGGCTTGTCTCGAACTCCTGACCTCAAGCGATCCTCCCACCTCGGCCTCCCAGAGTGCTAGGATTACAGATGTGAGCCACTGCACCCAGCCAGAAGTCTTTCTTATCTCTTTGACTTGCTCAGGTGTCCTTTATAAAGGCCATCATAGTTCCCCGTTCTTCCCTTTTGTGGAATTTAAGACACTTGAGATACATACACACACAACCTTATTTATTTATTTATTTTTTTGGAGACAGAGTCTCACTCTGTTGCTTGGGCTAGAGTACCGTGGCATCAGCCTAGCTCATAGCAACCTCAAACTCCTGGGCTCAAGCAATCCTGCTGCCTCAGCCTCCCGAGTAGCTGGGACTACAGGCATACGCCACCATGCCCGGCTAATTTTTTCTATGTATATTAGTTGGCCCTATTCAATTTTTTCTATTTATAGTAGAGACAGGGTCTCTGCTCTTGCTCACCGGCTGTCTCGAACTCGCTGACTTGAGCGATCCTCCCTCCTCAGCCTCCTAGAGTGCTAGGACTACAGGCGTGAGCCACCATGCCTGGCCTACATCCCTATATATTTTGAACACCCCAATCTGAAAATCTGAAAGACTTCAAAATCTGAAACTTGGGCTGGGCACTATGGCTCACGCCTGTAATCCTAGCACTCTGGGAGGCTGAGGTGGGAGGATTGCTTGAGCCATCTCTGCCAGCTACTCGGGAGGCTGAGGCAGGAGGATTGCTTGAGCCCAGGAGTTTGAGGTTGCTGTGAGCTAGGCTGATGCTACGGCACTCACTCTAGCCTATGCAACAAAGTGAGACTCTGTCTCAAAAAAAAAATAATAATAATAATTTCATGTTTAGACTTGGATCCCATCCCCAAAATATCTCTTGTATATGCAAGTATTCCAAAATCTGAAATCCAAAATACTTCTGGTCGCAAGCATTTTGGATAAGAGATACTCGACGTGTCTGTGTGTGTGTCTATATATGTTTATCATACGTACATACACACATGTATACTCAGCTGTGTGAGATTGAGGACTAGGTATATTTGGATCACATTTATAGCCCAGGATACTGCCTATCAAATATGGATGAAAGGAGCAGATTAATAAAACAATATATTTTTTTTTGAGACAGAGTCTCACTTTGTTGCCAGGCTAGAGTGAGTCTGGAGTGTTAGGGCTCTGGGTTCAATTTCTAGCTACTCCACTTACCTGCTATGTGATCCTGGAAAAGTGACTGTCTTCCTGAGCCTGCTTTCCTCTTTTGCGTATGGAGTGATGTATTCTGTACAATCAGGTTTGGCTGTGAGTAACAGAGACTTCAAACATCAGTGGCTTAAACAAGACAGAAGTGTATTTCCTAGTCACAGAAAAGCCCAGAGGTAGCCACTTCTGTGCAGGGACCTAAGCTACTTCTGTTTCTTTGTTCTCCTGCGCACAGCTTCTCTTCCCGGTGTTGTGTCAAGGTGTGAGAGGGCTGCTCAGACTCCAGCCATCATGTCTTCATTCCATCCAGCAGGGAGGAAGGAGGAGGAAAAGGGGGCAAAGGTGCTTATGGCAGTTGTTAAGAAAGGTTCTAGATGTTTTCCCATTAGACTTCCACTCATATCCTACTGACTGGAAAGTTGTCCCTTGATCAGGTACAGCTGCAAGGAAGGCTAAGAGGTATAGGCTTTTTTCCCGGTACCTGTGACCAGCTATCTCAGGAGTTCTGTCACTGCTTAAGAAAAGGGAATGGTGGTGGTCGCCAGTTAATGGGAACTGCTCCCTCCCAGGACTATGGAGTAGGGGACACACAGAGCACTGAGTGAGTGTAGGCCTGGCCAGGTGACTGTTAGTGTTAGCTCTTGTTCTTAGTGATGTTACTATTCCCCGGTAGAGCCAGAATTTGGATCCAGGTTCGTGGATGATACAGAGGAAAGAGGGCTGGAGTTGGGACTCCAGGCTCCCGTCCTAGTTAGCAGGGGAACTTCCTGAGCCGTGTTTACCCCTCAGGACAGTGTGACTAGCAGCCCCTCTCCCTGGATGAAGGGGAAGAGCTTAAAGAACACGTGTCAGTGTGTGCTTTGTGGTGCAGGCCTGTACAAGCAGCCACTGTCCCTGTTCGTGAACGTGATCCGCATTCAGATCTGAGCTGCCAGGCTGTGGCACATGACTGAGCGGTGGCTGATGGCTGCTGTGAGGGACACCACGTCTCATTCTTAGGCTGAGAGCAGAGGCTGTAGGCAGGTGTCGAAGAGGCTGGGGTACATTGTGACAAGCGAATGAGCACATCTAGACACGGTGGTTTTCCTGTTCCTCCTTTGTCCTTGGTGCCTGCTCTTCCTGTCTTCAGTCCCTAGCTGACTCTGGTTCCATCACTGCTTCTGTCCTTGTCAACTTTATAAATCAGTGGCTTGAATAAAGAAACAGAATCCCCCGTTGATATGAAAGTGGGAAATAAACAAGTCTCAGCTCAAGTGTCTCCTTCTCCAGGAAGCCGCAGTCTGACCCCCAGGCTGGCTCAAGCATTCCCCTGGGCGCTCCCTCTCAGCACTGCCCACTCAAGGTCATCACTGTGTGGGGACACATCTGGACCCCCACACTGGACTGTGATGTGAGTTCAGGCCTGCTGAACAGGTGAATTAATGAATGAACTCCTCTGACCCCGTGATCCCAGAGGCAGCATAATCCAGTGGTTAAGAGTAGATTCTGGATAAAAAGAAAGAAAGCTTGTTCTATGCTACGATATGGATGGATTTTGAGGACATTGTGCTGAGCGAAATAAGCCAGTCACAAAAAGATGCTACTGTATGATTCCGCATATATGAGTTATCTAAAATAGTCAAACCCTTTGAAATAGAAACTAGAACAGTGGTTGACAGGGGCTGGGGGAGGAGGAAAAGGGGAGTTGTTCAGTTTGTTCAGTTTTGCAGGATTCAAAAAGTCTACAGATCTGTTGTACAACAAGGTACATAGAGTTATTATTACTATACTGTACACTTAAAAATGGTTAAGATGGAAAATTTTGGGGGCGGGTGTTTTGTTTTTTTATAAAAACAAGATCACACTCTTTTGCCTGGGCTACAGTGTAGTGTCATCATAGTTGACTGCAGCCTCAAACTCCTGGGCTCGAGCAATCCTCCTGCCTCAGCCTCCCAAGCAGCTGGGACTACAGGTGTGCACGCCAGGCTAATTTTTGTGATGTGTTTTTTACTATAATAAAACATTACTCTTTTTTTTTTTTTTTTTTGAGACAGAGTCTCACTTTGTTGCCCAGGCTAGAGTGAGTGCCGTGGCGTCAGCCTGGCTCACAGCAACCTCAATCTCCGGGGCTCAGCGATCCTACTGCCTCAGCCTCCCGAGTAGCTGGGACTACAGGCATGCGCCACCATGCCCGGCTAATTTTTTGTATATATATTTTTAGTTGGTCAATTAATTTATTTCTATTTTTGGTAGAGACGGGGTCTCGCTCAGGCTGGTTTCGAACTCCTGACCTTGAGCAATCCGCCCGCCTCGGCCTCCCAAAGTGCTAGGATTACAGGCGTGAGCCACCGCGCCCGGCAAAACATTACTCTTAAATTGAAAAAAAAAAAAATAAGAGAGGAGTAGATTTTGGAATCAGGCCCATCGGGGTTCTACTCCTTGTTTTGTTTATTACTGGTGTGATCTCAGGCAGGTGGGCCTCACTGCTCCCATGGTTGGGAAGTTTGAGTGGGACGGTGTCCCTAAAACACTTAGCGTAGTGCTTGGCTTTTAGTATGGGTCATTGGCTTTTCCAGATTCTCCCAGCAGAGCCAGGCCCTAGACTCCGGGTTTCTACTCCCAGCCCAATGCTCTTTCCTTTCTGCCATGCTGACCCTGCCAGTGGCTTCTTTGTGCCCACCAAATTCTGTACGGCAAACAGCGCCCCATGGGTCTTGGCTGTGGGAACTGGGCATCTGGCAGGGAGGAGCCTCAGGAGTGTGGTGGGATCTCGGCCTTACACTTGCCTGGGACTGTCGGGGGGCTGAGGAGCTGGATTCCAGCTGTGCCACCCCTTCTGGAACTGTCTTCTTGGGCGTACCCCAGACTCAGTTTCTTTAGGTGTGAGATGTTAACAGCCCAGTGTCTGGCACTTACTGGGTGCAGGATTGAAATCAGCTGGATCTTAGCTGTGGTTATTAGTGTGTGTCCTCCGCTCCTTCCAACACGGGCTGCAGCTGCTCCTCTGCTGGCTGCGAGTGGGGTGGGAGAAGGGGACAGAGTGAGGAGGCGCAGGGTCTTGGGAACGTGGAGCTGATGTTTTTCCCTGAAGGGGCTCAGTCTCCCCATCTGTTCATGAAGATTCATTCCTTCATTGAGTGTTCTCAAGTGCCTGCTGTGAGCCAGGCTTCGTTCTAGGCCCTGGGGATACAGCAGGGAACAAAACAGATTCCTGCCTCGTGGGAGGCAGAGATGAATGAATGTAAGCTGCAGTGTCATGCTGTGGTCAGTGCTCTGGAGAAAACAAGTGGGGTTAAGGAGCTAGAGTAAGTAAGGGTTGTGGGGGGGCTGTTTAGATAGGGTCAGTAAAGAAGCCATCTAGAAGGAGCTCTGAAAAATGAGGGAGCAGCCGTGCTCCAGAGTGTTCCAGGCCGAGGCAGCAGCAAGTACAGAGGTCCTGAGTGGGAGCCTGGGACGTGTCGGAATGCTCAAGGATTGGGTGGGGGTGGGGTGCCTGGAGCAGAGGAGGGGAGGGGAAGGGCTGAGCAGAGGAGGGGTGTGGCCTAGTGGGGTTTAGCAAATGCCCTTGGCTACCAGGGGAGAGCGGACTGTAGAGAGCAAGGCTGGCAGCAGAGCCCAGGCAGGAGGCCGCTGGGGCATCCCGGCACGAGGAGATGCTGGCTGGTCCAGGGTGCCAGAAGTAGTCGCTGGGAACTAGGTCAGGATTTAAGGGCTAGCACAGTGGCCCCTCCGGTGGCTCTAGTGTGGTACTCGGCTAGACGTCGGCCAAGGTCTGGCTCTTAGGAAGCTGGTGGTGGGAGCTGCTGCCGCCGCTGCTGGATGTGTTCTTTTCGTCATGCTTTCGTCGTGACTTGGACCTGTGGCCCCCATTCGAGGGCTCGGGCCTGAGGGCTACAGACTCAGGGACAGCCTTCCCCCTAGTACCCTTTTTTGGGGTTGTTTTCTAAAACTTTGTTGAGGTACCATTCACATACCGCAAAATTCACTCATTTAAAGTGTATAATTTATTCTCCCCCTTTGTTCTCATTAACTGAAAAAATTGTATAATTCAGTACTTTTTAGCGTGAGTTGTGCAACCATCACCACCATGAAATTTGAGAAAATTGTCATTACCTCAAAAAGAAACCCTGTACCCCTTAACAGTCAATCCCCATTTCCCCAAACTCCTCAGCGCTAGGCAACTACTAATCTACTCTCTGTCTCTGTGGAGTTGCCTATTTGGATATTTCATAAAAACAGAATTAGGGCAGGGCATGGTAGCTCACGCCTGTAATCCTAGTGCTCTGGGAGGCCAAGGTGGGCGGATTACTCAAGGTCAGGAGTTCGAAACCAGCCTGAGCAAGAGTGAGACCCCATCTCTACTATAAATAGAAACAAATTAATTGGCCAACTAATATATAGAGAAAAAATTAGCCGGGCATGGTGGTGCATGCCTGTAGTCCCAGCTACTCGGGAGGCTGAGGCAGGAGGATTGCTTGAGCCCAGGAGTTTGAGGTTGCTGTGAGCTAGGCTGACTCCAGGACACTCACTCTAGCCTGGGCAACAAAGTGAGACTCTGTCTAAAAACAAAAACAAAAACAAAAAACAGAATTAGGCCAGGTGTGGTGGCCCACACCTGTAATCCTAGCACTCTAGGAGGCCGAGGTGGGCGGATTGCTCAAGGTCAGGAGTTCGAAACAAGCCTCAGCAAGAGCGAGCCCCCATCTCTACTAGAAATAGAAATTAATTGGACAACTAAAAATATATATATAAAAAAATGAGCCAGGCATGGTGGCGCATGCCTGTAGTCCCAGCTACTCGGGAGGCTGAGGCAGGAGGATCGCTTGAGCCCAGGAGATTGAGGTTGCTGTGAGCTAGGCTGACGCCACGGCATTATAGCCCAGGCAACAGAGTGACACTCTGTCTCAAAAAAAAAAAAAAGAAAAAAGAAAAGAAAAGAAAAGAAACCAGCAAAAAACGGAATTGCACAATAATACAGGGCCTTTTGTGTCTGGCTTCCTTCGCCTAGGATGATGTTTTCAAGGTTCATCCATGTCGTAGCGTGTCAGTACTTCATTCTTTTCTGTTGCCGAACAGCATTCTACTGTATGGTTGTACCATGTTCATCTGTACGTCTGTTATAGACATTGGGGTTGTTTCCATCTTCTGGCTACTGCAAATAATGTTAATGTTGTGAATATCATGTACAAGTATCTGTTTGAGAATCTATTTTCAGTGCTTTCAGGTATATACGTTGGAGTGGAATTGCTTGGCTATATTGTAATTTTTTGCTTAGCTCTTGGAAGAACCTAATTTCTCCACTTTCTTGTCAATACTCGTTATTGTCTGTCCTTTCCATTTACGCCATCGTAGTGCATGTGAAGTGGTATCTTGTGGTTCTGGTTAGTATTTCCCTGATGACTAATGACGTTGATCATCTTTAATGGGCTGATGCAGTCTTGGTATCATAGAAGCTGTTCCAGGCTGTTCCTGGCTCTGAATGAATGGCTTTGGGGGTGGGGGGTAAAGAGTTGGGGGGTAATATTTTGGGGAGGGAGGTTACAGTATTGGCTGCGCAGAAGATGGGGCCAGAGCTCAGAGCTTCTTGCCACCAACTTGGGAGGAAATGATTGCCCTGTCTCTCAAGGTGAGGTGGCCCCCATTAGTGCTGCCACTGCTGTGCGGGGTCACTCACCTCTCAGGTACGGCCTGCTTGACCTCAGAGGTGAGCCTGATGCTCAGCGTGGTTGTATGGGAGGTGCTGGGGTTTGGAGCTCATCTAGGTGGTAACCTCTGTCCCGTCCACCCCTGCAGAAGAAGGACCCAGCCCAGTTCCTGCAGGTACATGGCCGAGCTTGCAAGGTACACCTGGATTCTGCAGTTGCCCTGGCTGCCGAGAGCCCTGTTAACATGTGAGAGTCACCCGGGGGGCAGGGTGGTGTCTGTGACTTTAGGTGGGGGACCAGAAGGGTGGTGTAGGGTTTGGAGCAGACTCTGGAGTATGGACAGACCTTCGGGACTCACAGGCAGGGAAGGCTTGGCCTACATGTAAAGGTGACAGTCACAGAAGCTAAGTAGAGTGGGCAGGGGTTGGGATGGAGGCCTCAGGGTAGCAGTGGTGGTTGGAGGACTTAAAGGGAAGTGAGTGGGGCCAGGGCCCCAGAGGAAGCAGAGAATATGTTGCCAGAGGGGGTGTTTCAGGATAACTGGCGCCACTCAGGAGGCCTCTAGGACCTGGTTTTAAGTCCCCTGCTATTGGTTTTGGGAAATGGGCCCTGGTGTCCCCAGGAGCAGTCAGATGGGTGGCCTGTCCCGGGTCCCAGAAGCCTGAATGTGGATTCGGGGAAGTTTGTAGCTTAAGGGACTAAGAGCTGGGCGGTGAGGGTGAGGGCCATGGCATGGGATCAGAGGGGCCCAAGGACCAGGCTGCCAGGCTTCCAAGCTTGGGGTGGCAGGGAACATTGCATCCTGGGGGCAGTAGGGACCCTGACAGAACTTCTTGCTTCCCTGCTCTCCTCCTCCCACTCAGGATGCCCTGGCAGGGGGACACCAACAACATGATCGACCGGTTCGATGTTCGTGCCCACCTGGACCACATCCCCGACTATACCCCCCCACTGCTCACCACCATGTAAGCTGCCTCCCCAAGGGGTTGCCGAGCAGGGGGTGACACCCAACACCACCTATTTTCTCCCCAGCCTGTTTGTCACCTCTCTAGGAGGTGTGCAGATGGGGGGAGCCCCCTCCCATTTGGGAAGCTGAAGTTCAAAGAGTCACTGCCTCCCCCTCCCCCTGAGCCTGAGCCAGGCACCTCATTTCTCTTCCTGCCGGCTTGGGGTGGGATCTGCCCCCTCCCTCTGATCTCATTACCTCCCCCAAAGCTCTCCAGAACAGGAGTCAGACGAGCGGAAGTGTAACTACGAGCGCTACCGAGGCCTGGTCCAGAACGACTTTGCTGGCAGTGAGTAATCTGGGGGGGACGTGGGGAGTGGGTCTGGGGGCCCCTGGAGCCTGGAAGGCCTGGGCAAGTTTGGGAAGAAAAGTTTTGTCCAAGTCCTTTCTACTAAAGAGCCTTGGGTTCTGGTCCCAGCTCTGTCATGGACTCACTGTCTACTTCTCTTTCGTTTTGGGGGCCTCTGTTCCTGGAATTGGCTCAGGGGATGTCTGCTGAATGTGATCTCCCTGCAGGATCGCCTCCACATCCCGTGCCCTCTGACTCTGTGGTCTTTTTGCCTAAAAAAAAAAAAAATGTAGAAAATAGAAAGTGCACATTTTTTACCTCTGTGTATTTCCCCTGCCTGTGTGGATCATACGGTCAGCTCTGAAGAGGAAATTTCTCCTTGATTTAGCATTTGACAATTTGCGAGCATTTATATATGTGCAGGGTTTTTCTCTAAGCCTGGCCTTACTGCTGCTGCCATTCCACAAAAGAGAAAACGCAGGCCTAGGGAAACTTCTCACTTGGGCTTGCCTGGGAACGTCCAGAAACTGACGTGCTCGGGCTTTTTTGTCTGTATTATCTCATTACCTCTGCACAACCACCTGGCACGCTAGGGGTGATGGTCCATTTTACAGACAAGCATGTTGAGGATTAGAGGTGAGGGGGATGCCACGTCCGAGGAGCTGGGATTCTGTCCCGTGTCCTTAACCACTTCCGTCTTCTGATGGAAAGCTCCTAGCTCGCCTACCAAGAAGGACTTGAGATTTCCCTCTCAGTTCCCTGCGGAGTTAAGGGAAAGGTGGCGTTCTCTGCTGGGCTTGATCGTACATGAGTCCGTTACCTGGAGGGTCTTGGTTTCTTCTGATAAGAGTGGTGATGATGGTTTTGTCGCATGGGGTGGCTGTGAGAGTTCTGTGAGGCGTGCATAAAACCCCAGCACTGAACCTGGCACAGTCGGCCCTTCTTATGGGTTCGCTAGTCCCATTTTTTTTTGTTGTTTCTAAGATAGATGCTTCTGAATCTCTAAAATCAGAGGTTGCCAGAATTCTAGCCATCAGTGAAGCCTTTGAATCAGGGAGATTTGCCGTCATCGATACTGTTGTTGCCATCACCCAAGGCCACGTGGGTTCTGGGTGGCAGAGGCCACGTCTCCCTTAGTTCTGTGTGACTCTGCATTCGTTTATTCACTTCCGCAAAGAACTATGGGGCACCTGTGGTGTGCCAGACATCGTTCTGTGACCATAGGCCGAGCAGGGGAGAGGGCAGCAGCTATGTAATCACATCAGTGATGGCGGGGACGCTAAGGCAAGCGTAGGACGGACAGCACGCTCATCCCTGAGAAAAATGGGACGGAGGTCCGTGTCCGAGGCTGGGGTCAGCGAAGGGTGTGTAGGAGCTCCGTGGTGAGGAGAGAGGCCCTGTGTGGAGTGGAAGGTGGGCACGCTGGGTGGAACGGAGCCCACGTGTGGGCGCAGGGAGAGCGAGGCTGCTGTGAGACACAGGTCAGCGGGGCCCCCGCTGGAGTGCGTAGACAGTGGGCAGGACTCAGGACGTCGCTTTAGCAAGGGAGGGCCATGCTGCGTCACCTCTAGGCCCACCCAGCCCATCCACCTCACATGAGGCCCATAGGGTGAACCAGGGGGACTTGCCCGGAGTCCCATAGTGAGTCAGGGACACGCATGTCACTGCAGGGGAGATCAGGAAGACTCTGGTATATCGTTGAGTTCTCTAGGTGGGCGTAGGGGTAAAGGAGAGCCCAGATCATCCCAGACCACACTTAATTTGAACTGAGCCACAGAATGGCAGTGTTGTGACCCACGAGGTCTGATGACATCCAGCACTCCGGAGCAGGTGCATAGTTTTTTTTTTTGAGACAGTCTCGCTTTCTTGCCCAGGCTAGAGTGAGTGCCGTGGTGTCAGCCTAGCTCACAGCAACCTCAACCTCCTGGGCTCAAGCGATCCTCCTGCCTCAGCCTCCCGAGTAGCTGGGACTACAGGCATGCGCCACCATGCCCGGCTGATTTTTATATTATATATATTAGTTGGCCAATTAATTTCTTTCTATTTTTATGGTAGAGACGGGGTCTCGCTCAGGCTGGTTTTGAACTCCTGACCTTGAGCAATCCGCCCGCCTTGGCCTCCCAGAGTGCTAGGATTACAGGCGTGAGCCACCGCGCCCGGCCCAGGTGTATAGTTTTAAAGGGTCCAGTCAAAGGCCTCCATAACAGTGATTATGGTAACAGTGCCCAGGTACCAAGCACTGGCTACCAGTGGTCCCATTTTATAGAAAAGGAAACTGAGGCACGGAGGGGTTAAATTGCTTGACCAGGGTTGTGCAGAGTAAGTGGTGTAGCCAGGGCTCTGCTGTGGTTGCTCGTGTCCAGCAGACGTAGTTTGTGATTACTTGGAACCTGTGACTCCGCCCTCAGCTGCACTGGGGTTGCACCCGCCCTCCTGCCCCCTCCCCTGCATCCTGTGTCCTCCCCTGAATTCCCAGTGTCCCAGCCCGCTCTGACCCGTGTGCCTCTTCTTGCTGCAGTCTCCGAGGAGCAGTGCCTGTACCAGATCTACATCGACGAGTTGTATGGAGGCCTCCAGAGACCCAGCGAGGATGAGAAAAAGAAGTGAGTCGTTGGGGTCTGGGGTGCAGTAGGGAGGGAAGTAGGAGGACTGTGAGCCCCCAAGGGCATGGCTTCTCCGATCCTGTGCCCTGTGGTCCCCCGGAACCCAGGATGGTGTTCAGCCTGGGTGCCTCCCTCAGTGACGCTTTCCCTCATGCTCCTGAGGCTCCCCCTTGGGGACCCTAACTACTGGCAGCTTTCCTCCACTGGAAGAGTTTCCACGGGACTGGACTAGGAAGGAGCTTCTTGAAGACTCTGAGCCTCATCCGTGGCCCCAGCTTCAGGGTCCTGCTCAGGCCCTTCAGGCCCTGCTCTGCTCTAGGCAAAGCTGGGGCACACTGTTGCTCAGGGTGGCTCTGGGCCATGCGCTCACAGGACTCACAGTCTAGTAGGGGGAGACAGACCTGTCCCCCAGTAGTAATGACCCCACAGGGACAGGCCTGGGGAGCTCCGCACAGTGCTGACCCAGCCTGGGGGTGGTCAAGGGCTTCTGGCAGATGCGGCGTTGGAGCTGGGACACAGAGGAGAGGGAAGCCTGAGAGGACCAGAGGCCAGTGTGCGGGGCCTGCCCGGGGCCCTCTTCTCTGCTGGGCACTGCCTTGGCTCACTGGCTCCCCCATCCCAGGCTGGCAGAGAAGAAGGCATCCATTGGTTACACCTACGAGGACAGCACAGTGGCCGAGGTAGAGAAGGTGGCAGAGAAGCCAGAGGAGGAGGAGTCACCAGCGGAGGAGGAGAGCAACTCGGATGAAGATGAGGTCATCCCCGACATCGGTGGGGTCCCCTCTCTGCCCTCCCCTCCCGCAGTCCCTGGGCATCGCTTTCGTGTCTCGTCTCTCACCCTCTGTGGGGCACCCACGCTGCGAGCCCCGTCTCTCTCCCTCCCTTGCTCCGGGGTGCTCCAGCCTCCTGCCTCCTCCCTGTCTCACTTGTCCCTTCCTGCCTCCCCATCTGTAGCTCTTTCTCTCATTTTTCATTTCTAGGGCACTTTGTGTGATATTTCCCCACCTGGGTGTTGGCTCTGCTTTCTTCCACTCGGGCCGTCCTCTCTTTTCTCCCTCCAGCTTTCTTCTTTTTCCACTGGAACACAAGTGTTCATCCTTCCAGAGACATCCCTCATCCCCCAGCATCTGCTCGCCCACCCTCCCCACTCTGCTGCTCACCTCCCACCTAAAAACCCAGCTGTCTCCCCTTCTTCTCACTCTGCCCGTGCCTCTGTGTTTATCCTTGGGCAGAGCCTGTGTTAGCCTCCACCGTCCCACCTTCCACCGTTTGTTTATCAGGTGGCCAGCTCCTAAACTCTGCGACCCATACCCTGCCTGCCACCCTCCTCGGTCTTCATCCCCCGTCTGTCTGTCCCCTGTTCACTCCTCCTCACGTCACTTCCTCCATACATCTCACTCATCCGTGCATCCATCTGCCCCCTCTGTCCACCGCACGTGGTGCTCACCGAGCCCGGTGCCAGCCTGGGGGATGCAAGATGAGCCAGACCCGATTCAGTCCCTCCATGAAGATTGCTGCAGTCTGGCGGGCGCCCCTGTCCACCTCCAGCTCCTGGGGCACTGCCCCTTCTCCCCTGCCCTCTCATGTGGCTTTGGCTCCTGACAGCCTGTCTCTTGGTGCAGATGTGGAGGTGGACGTGGATGAGTTGAACCAGGAGCAGGTGGCAGATCTCAACAAACAGGCCACGACCTACGGCATGGCTGACGGTGACTTTGTCAGGTGAGGCCTGCCCGCTGACACCCCTCCCCACTCTGTGACCCCGCCCTAGCGTCTCTCTGTTTTTGCCCGGCCCTCGGCCCAGGTCTGTACCTGTACAGGCCCATGGTATTTGTGGCCCCACTTCATATGTGCAAAAACTGAGGATGCACCCAGAATTACCCAGCCTGTCCTACTCAGTGTGACCTGGACCAGTCTGACAACCACCACCCCCCCCCAAGCTCTGGGGTTCCTGGGCCTGGTGGACAGCGACCTCTAGTGGAGAGGCTTCATTTGCTGGCCCATTTCCCTTGGCAGTTGCTGGTTTAGCCTCTACTTAGCTGTGCTGAGTTCTTTACTCACAAGATCATATAACCAGTCCCAACTCACAGAGCGACCCATACCCTGCCTGGTATGGGAACCGGAAACCAAATAAACCCAAGTCTGAACATAAGCACCTTCTGCCAAGAACCCTCCATGGCGCCCACATCCCTCTGGATCATCCAGCATCCTCACTACACCCACAGGTCTTACCTACCTGGGCCTCTTGCTCTCCCATGTCTCCCCATTTGGCCCCCATGGCCTCCTTTCTCCTCAAATGCCTGAGGCCTGCTCCAACCTCTGGGCCCCTGTCCCGCGTCTGTACAGCTTGCTCTACCAGGTTTCTCTCCAGCTGTCACGTTCTCTGGCTTTCCTGACCTCCCTGTTGAAACGTGCAGTCTCTGCCTGTTCCCTGGCACTTCCTTCCCTCCTCCTATGATTTATTTTTCTGATCAAGGTTAGCACCACCTAATAGACCATGCATTTCATTGCCTCAATCACTGTCTGTTTCCCCCGCCAGAGTGTAAGCCCATGTAGGTGACGGTTCCTGTTGGTTTCAGTGCTGAATTCTTAACATCTGAAAGAGTACCTGGCACACCGAAAGTGCTCAGTGGGTTGTGCTGAATGAAAGGCACCCACAAAGGATGGTGTGGAGTCCTTCACTTTCTTTGATGTCTTGGCCACTTGTCCTTCACCTAGTGATTTGTCCCTCCCCACATGATTCTCTGCAGGATGCTCCGGAAAGACAAGGAGGAAGCTGAAGCCATCAAACACGCCAAGGCCCTTGAGGAGGAGAAGGCCATGTACTCGGTGAGGTCTGGGCTATCGTGGAAGGGGGCAGGGATGGGTCTCAGGGAGGTCACACTCCTCACCAGCCTGGTGCCCACCTTGCTCCAGGGCCGTCGCTCCCGGCGCCAGCGGAGAGAGTTCCGTGAGAAGCGGCTGAGGGGCCGCAAGATCAGCCCACCCAGGTAGGGCTTCTCCCCTGAGCCCCCCGCCCCGCCCTGCCCACTTTAGTCTTGGGAGACTCTGAGGGAGGGGACAGGGGCTCAGAGCCCGGGAAGGCTCTTTGGAACCTGACTTCGGTTTGGGGAAAGAGGTTTCCTAGTGGGGCAATAAATGGCCTGAATGTTGGTCCAGGCGCGGTGGCTCACGCATGTAATCCTAGCACTCTGGGAGGCTGAGGTGGGAGTATCGCTTGAGGTCAGGAGTTCAAGACCAGCCTGAGCATGAGTGAGACCCTGTCTCTATTTTAAAAAGAAAGAAGAAGAAGAAATGGCCTGAGTGAAGGTTTAGAAGTGGGAATGGCCTTGAGAAGCATGTGGACATTTTTCCCTGCCAGCAGCTCCCCTCACCCTATTGGACTTGGGGCCCTTGCTGGACTCCTTAGGTGCCAGTGTGGAGGTGGCATATGGCTGTTGCCAGGGATGGCCGAGAGGCCTGGCCCTGGACTCTGATCCAGTTCTGCTGCTTGGCCGCTTCCTCTCTGTCAGAATTTGGACAAGGGACTTCCCTTCTTTGAGCTTTAGTTTCTTCCTTTGGAAAACGGAGCACTGTCACCTACCAGGAGAGAGAGGGCTAAGCCAGTCCCCACGTGAGGTCTTGGGACAGGTTTGGATGAGGCAGTCTGGCATGGAGGAGAGAGTTCAGCCTGGGTCAGGAGGCCTCAGAGAGAGCCTCGTAGGCCTGGCGCCTGTGCAGGCCCATGCGACTTTGCTGTGAGGCTTAGATGACATGCTGCGGGTTCAGGGGTTGGTGTGGAAAATGTTCATTAAAGAGTAGCACTGACTGTCTCTCATCCTCAGCACAGAGGCAGCGGCAGGGTAGTGTGTGGAAGCATGGGCTCACTGGGTTTAGATCTCGGCTTCTTCATTTATGAGCTGTGTGACACTGGGCAAGTGACTTCACCTTTCTGGGCTTCAGTTTTCCTCAGCTGTGAAGCATGAATAATTATGATACCCACGTCAGAGAGGAAGAACCATTGAGTTAATTTATACAAAGCCATTAATGCATAGCACGCAGTAAGCAATTAAGACGTTAGCTATTTTATTTATTTATTTTTTGGTCAATCCCTTGGTCAGTTTGCAGCTGTTTTAGTTTCATTGTCATCATCATTGATAAGCGAGGACCTGGTTAGAGCAGGGAACAAGGAGTAGGAGAAGGCATGGTTCCAGTCTAGGGCCAGGAGGCCAGGCAGGACTGACGCTGCTGAAGACCGTGTTCCTCAGCGTCAGGATGGGTCTGGAACATTGTGGGTGGGGCTGAGGTTCATGCTGTGGACAGATCTGAGTTGGGTGGGGGAGGCAAGGCAAGGCCCATGACCTGGTCGGCAGCCTCCTCTCCTCACTGTGCCAGGTACCTGGCCTTGGGCCCTTAAGCTGAGGGGCTTGGCCAAATTCCATGTCCGCTCAGATTCTAAGTCCCCATTTGTTCCACTCCATTCTTCTCTCTGTAGCTATGCCCGCCGAGACAGCCCCACCTACGACCCCTATAAGAGGTAAGTCCCTAGGGACCCAGGGAGGGGCGGCCAGGGAGCCCCCTGGTGGAAGAGCAGGAGTGGTAAGGTGGGGTGGAGGGCTCAGCCCACTAGGCGCCCCAAGATCACAGACTGCATGGTATGTTCTGGGTCTGATTCATTCTCGGTTTCCCAGATCATTAGCCTGTTTTCCCAGGTTTTTTTTTCCTTTAGATTTGAATCTTTTTATTTTTCTGATTTAAACATAATGTAGTCTTGTGGCAAAAATGCTCAAATATGGCAAAAAGGTGTGACTTGGAAATCAGAAATTTCTTGAATCCCAGAAGTAACAGGCACAGGATGGCCTGGCTGGGCATGCGAACTTATCTCGGGGTATTGAGGTGGCTGAGGGGGTCTGACCTCCATCTCACCCCAGGTCCCCTCATCCAAGCTCTGTAGCTCTTTTAAACCCAGTTCCCTCTTCTCACTGGGGGCAAGGGTGTGCTCTGCCGCACGGGCTGTGGGTGGACGTGAGGTGAGATGGTGAGGCTTTGGTGAAATAAAAGTGTTGGGACATCAGGTCCTTTCTTTTTATTTTACAAAAATGATATTTACCACACTTAATATTTTGGAACTTGCTTTTTCCCCATCTATCTCCTTATCTATTGAAGAAAACTTTCCATGTTCAATACAGAGGTCTGCTCATCTGTGTTTAATAGCCACATGAAATCCACATGGTCTTCTGCCATTCCCTTTCCTGGTTGTTTGGCAAGGCCCATCGTTGTGAATAAAGTCCTTGTAGAGAGCCTGGGGCTTTGCCCTTTGGACTCTGCCTGTGCCGGCTTTCTAGTGTGCTCTGTGCCCCACAGTTGTCCTCTCTGTTGCTCTGCGTGCGTTTTGGTCGCTGCTGGGGAGGCTGTACGCGTCTGGGCCATTGAGCGTCTTCTCCCCTGCCCCCTAGGTCGCCCTCGGAATCCAGCTCAGAGTCCCGCTCCCGTTCCCGCTCCCCGACCCCAGGCCGCGAGGAGAAGATCACGTTCATCACCAGTTTTGGGGGCAGCGACGAGGAGGCAGCCGCAGCCGCAGCTGCCGCAGCCGCGTCAGGGGCCACCACAGGGAAGCCCCCCGCACCCCCCCAGCCTGGCGGCCCTGCCCCGGGACGTAATGCCAGTGCCCGGTCGGTAACGCTCACGCTGCCCGCCCTACACCCCGGCCACCATGGGGGGGACCTGGGGCAGAGGGGGGCCAAGGCCCAGGCCCGTGCTGACCGGCCCTCCGTGCCCCGCCTGCAGCCGCCGCTCCTCTTCTTCCTCCTCCTCCTCTTCCGCCTCGAGGACCTCCAGCTCCCGCTCCAGCTCCCGTTCCAGCTCCCGCTCCCACCGAGGCGGGGGCTACTACCGCTCCAGCCGCCATGCCCGCTCCCGGTCCCGCTCCTGGTCCCGCTCCCGGTCCCGCTCCAGACGCTATTCCCGGTCTCGCAGCCGTGGCCGGCGGCACTCAGGTGGGGGCTCCCGAGACGGACACCGCTACTCCCGCTCGCCTGCCCGGCGTGGTGGTTACGGGCCCCGGCGCAGAAGCAGGTGTGTGCCGCTGGGGTGCGTGGGGGGCAGGGCCTGGGGTGGGCGTGGGGGCTCCCCTGTCCGAGAGAGCACCTAGTCTGAGAGAAGAGGCACTGCCACTGCTCTTTTCTTGGGAAGCTCTTGGTTTGAAGCAGGAGGCGTAGGTGTGCCCACTTTGTTCCGAGGGTACCAAGCACGGTGACAGTGGGAGAGGAGACTGAGCATCTCTTGTCATGGGGTACCTCTGTCTCTGCCACCAGGAGGCCCAGACTGAGGGGAGTGGAAGTGCGTGGACACTCCAGGTGTTCTGTACCTGGCAGGGAGAGACCTGGGCCCTGAGTCCTGGGAAACCCCGTGGGGAGGCAGTCCTCTGTGGGGGGAGTAGGTGAGGAGGGGTGGAAAAATCAAGACAGCCCTTTTCAGGGAGGCAGGGTTAGAAGTGAGCACCTCAGGGCTGGATCATCCTTCCCTTGGCCATCCCCTTGCTGCTGGCCTCAGGGCTGCCCTCAGCATGGCAGGGCGGCTCGGTGGGTGGGAACCTGGACTGCAGCGCATCTGCCTAGGCGTGGATTCGGGCTTGTGCGTGAGCTCCCTGGATCTCCTTGCTCCATCTGTAACATAGAGGTGATAATGACACCTACTTCCCTGGGCTGTTGCAGAGATGTGACAAGTAAATCCATGTAAAGCGCTTAGGACAGGGCCTTGTGCAGGCCAGGTGCTGTTACTGCCATCAGGAGTGTTGCCTATGTCACTGTTGCGTGGATCCCAGTGTCCGCTGTCTGCAGGGTCTGGCAGGTGGAGGGGCCAGGTGGTCGGTCCTGTTGAACTGGCAGCACAGGTCCCATCCAGCAGGGCTGTCCACCTGTGGCAGGCCTCGCGTTGCCCGTCTTTCAGTTTCTTGAGGGAAGTTGAGGGTGTGGACTTCTCAAAGGACCGCTCTGGTTTTCTCAGTGTTGACAACAAATGTAAATTTTGTAAAAACTCAAGAGAGCCCAAGCAGAGTCGTTGTGTGGCCCGGAATTGGCGTCCAGGTCATTCCCTGCAGCCTGGCCCAGGATGATGGTAGACAGCTGTGGGGGGAGGTGGCGCCTGGACACATCTCGCATGCCAGCTTGAGGGGAAGCCCTTGCTGGAGGGTCTCACCAGTGTCCTGAACAGGGAGAGGATGGGGGCTGTGTGTCCCCAGACTGGAACTCGTGGGTCTGGTGGGGCGAGTGGGTGGTGCCCAGGGCATCGAGCCCCTGAACCCTGAAACTCCTTTGTGCCCTGGGCCGAGCATGACACTTTAAAGGGGAGCCAGCCAACCACGTCCTGCCCTCCTGGGAAGGCAGCGAGAGGTGCCCAGTGAGGGCGGGTGAGGTGTGCCCGGGCAGCTGATGAGGGCGTGACTCTTGTGCTGATTGTCCCTAGAGGGCGGGCGGTGTCTGGAGACTGAGGGAGGCCAGGGAGCAGCTCCAGGGACTCCTGGGGAAAGTAACGGGAGAGGTCTAGAGTCACGCCAGATGCACGGGCCTTGGCAGAGGACTGTAGATTTGGAGCCAGGGGACCGGTGCAGTTGGGGTCCCTGGAGTCACAGTCGTCCTGCCCTGCTGCACTCCCAGGAGCCGCTCCCGCTCAGGGGACCGCTACAGGCGGGGCGGCCGGGGCCCCAGGCACCACAGCAGCAGCCGCAGCCGCAGCAGCTGGTCCCTCAGCCCGTCCCGCAGTCGCAGCCTGACTCGCAGCCGCAGCCGCAGCCCCAGCCGGAGTCATAGTCGCAGCCGCAGCCGGAGCCGCAGCCAGAGCCACTCGCCGTCACCCCCAAGGGAGAAGCTGCCCAGGCCAGCGGCGTCCCCTGCTGTGGGCGAGAAGCTGAAAAAGTGAGCAGGGACGGTCTGGGGCAGAGGGTTGTCAGCCTCGGCTGGGGAGAGTGAACTCCGTCCACTGCGCTGTTTTGGAAGGGAGCTTGGTCCTACCCTGGGAGGTCTGAGGGGTACGTGGCCCTGTCCTAGAGGCTCTGTGGGGCCATGAACCTGTCCTAAGGGGTCTGAGAGGGACACGGGGGTGGAGGGGTGGCCATCTGGTGTGAGGGCAGTGCTGAGGCTGTGGGGTCAGAGTGGCAGCTGCCCAGTCCTCCTCCCAACCACGTCCTCTGGCCCCACCTAGGACCGAACCTGCCGCTGGTAAAGAGACAGGAGCTGCCAAAGTCAGTAAGAATTTGGAACTCACCCGTCTAATTCCCGCCAGCAGCAGTGCCCGAGAACTGGGCCCGGTGGGCCTGCAGGGGGGCCCGGGTGGGCCGGGAGATCCAGCCCCAGGGATTGAGGGGGGAGCGGAGGGGTCTGCTCCCATGAGAACCATGTCCCCCTCCCCTCCTCGATGTGCATCGGGGCTCCAGCTGTCCCTGAGCCTCCCGGAGCCTCATGGCGGGCGTCCACAGCCTGCCCCTCCGCCCCACGTTTGCCCCTGCAAGTCCCAGGCTTTTGGCTGAGGTGGGTCGTGGGAGCTCCGGGACACCCACCCCCTCTCCCGCCTCTTCTCCCCCTTCCCCAGCCCAAGCTGACGCCGCAGGAGAAGCTGAAGCTGAGGATGCAGAAGGCGCTGAACAGGCAGTGTATGTGCCACTGTCTGTCCCTCCAGGTCCTCCCTGCTTGTCTTCCTCTTGCCAGTGGGAGCAAGTAGGAGACCAGCTCTGGCCTTGGGGAGGAGTGGGGCTGCGTCCCGCCTGCCGCTGCGGTGCTAGTGCTAGGGCCCTCGGCGTCTGGTGGAGCTCAGCTTCCTTGTTTTAGGAAGTGGGGTCTTAAGGGCACCCCTCAGCCACGTGTTCCTTCCTTCCTACAGTCAAGGCGGATAAAAAGGCAGCTCAAGAGAAGATGATACAGCAGGAGCATGAGCGGCAGGTCAGGGTGGGAAGTGAGGGGGTGGGTGCAGGTGGGGTGCCGGGCCGGCCACACCCTCACAGCCGATCGTGTCTGCTGCAGGAGCGGGAAGACGAGCTTCGAGCCATGGCCCGCAAGATCCGGATGAAGTAAGACTGTCCCTCCTCCCTGTACCCTGGCCACCCCCCCTGCTGCGGCTGGGCTTCCAGCTAGAGCCCTGCCCGGGCCCTTTGTGGGTGGATGAAAGTCAGAGCCCTGCCTGGCCCTCGGGGCTATGCTCCATGGCTCCTCTCCCTCAATTTCCTCCCTGCATCCCAGCTTAGCTCCTGCCACTGAAACCCAGTCCTCCAGTCTTCAAGCTCGGGCTGTCTTTGCTGTCCTCTTGGCGTGGCAGGCTCTTCCTAATACCCAGTACCCACCCCACCACCGTGGGTCTTTCTCCTGCCCGAGCCTCGGTTTGCTCATCTAATAAATGGAGATGGAATCATTGTCCCCCTCACGGGCTTGTTGGGAGGGTTCAGCAAGATCAAGGCCAGGCGTGGAGAGGAGGGGGTGCCTTCAGCCCCGACCAGTTGTCGGGGTTGCTAATCCTGGTCACTCTGATAGAGGCCAGTCAAGCACCCAGCCAGTGCAGGTCCCCAGCTGTGGCAGGACGTGGAGCCATCAGGCCTCCCCTTGCTGAGCAGGCTGTCCTAGTCAGGCAGGCTGGGGTTCCAGTCCTGACTCTGCCAGCCAGTGTCTCTGAACCTCAGGGTCTCCATTTCCAAGTGGGGACAGTAGCAGTGTGTGCCTCCTTGGTTTACTGCTTCCCTTGGCCTACCTGGGTTCAGTGTTCCCAGCTGGATGCCTGCCCCATCCCCTCGCAGGGAGCGGGAGCGCCGAGAGAAGGAGCGGGAAGAATGGGAGCGCCAGTACAGCCGGCAGAGCCGCTCGCCCTCCCCGCGCTACAGTAAGTGTCCCTTGTCCCTGAGAGTCTGGAGGCTTTGGGGTATTGAAAAGAACAGTGTCAAGCAGGGCTGCAAACAACCATGCCACGTTTTCCACGTTAGAGTTTTCCATAAATGAAAGCTCTTAAGACACACTACGATGGCATTAGTCGCAGGGTAATCACAGGGTTTAGAAGAAATGCTCATTCCCAGCACATCGATGCGGGCTGGTGAGGGGCACAGGTCACAGCCAGTGGATGTGGTGCAAGCTCCAATGTCACCTCAGTTGAGACCACAGGCCAGGTCAGGGAAGAGCCCCTGGCCCCGGGACATCGGCTTTGTCTCCACCTGTTCTTTTCTTTCCAGGTCGAGAATACAGCTCTTCTCGAAGGTAAGGAAGTCATCTCAGCTCCCTGGGGTGACCATCCACTTCCCTGGGAAATTACTTGTCCTTTAGTGGGAGATCCTGGTGCTGAGTCCCCCCTCACCCCCACTCCTCCAGCCGTAGGGGCTGGTCTCCTATCTTGGGAAGCGTCTGTTCCTCTGTCTGCAGTCCCCCGATCTCCAGCATGTTGGTGCGTGTGCACCCGTGAGGCCTCCCTCTTCCCGCCCCACCCTCACAGGGCCCCTCCTTTTCTCTTTCCAGGCGCTCAAGGTCCCGATCCCGAAGCCCCCATTACCGACATTAGGCAGAAGAGTGGGGGGCAAGGGACAACGGGGTGGGGAGCGGGGCTGAAGCTGTGATGCTGCTGGTTTTCTCTCTAGTGAAATAAAATCAAACATTATTTAATTCCCTTCACCGGGCCTCAGTGTTGTCTGTGTGGCTGGCGCAAGGCTCTCCAGCCCCAGTGCCGCCAGCCAGCGAGGCCAGCTGGGGAGGGCGCTTGCTGGGTTGACAGGCCAGGGCCAGTGCTGCCTGCGTGGGAAGTCCCGATGGCAGCTCACGGTTAGTCAGCCCTGCTGTGGCGAGTGCGGCCTGCTTAGGCGGCAACAATCCAGTGGGAGAAAGGCCCAGCCAGATCTGCCCACAGGTGTGGGCCCAGCATGTCCCACATGGGCCCCTTTGCCCAGGGGCCTCTGGCGACAGGTCCAGGCCTCTCCCCGCCCTCGCCTCGGCCCCTGCCCTGGCCTCACCCACACCAGGAACCGGGAGCGCGGCTTTCTGTGCCAGTCCTGCTGCGCCCCAGGCACTGGGGGCTGGCCTTTCCCCTCACCCCCTCACCCCAAACCGGTCTGTCCAGCCGTCCACCCCAAGGAGGGGAAGCCTCCCGCCCCACCTCAGACTCCCCAAGAAAGCCAGAGCCCAAACGTGTAAATAACAAGGACAATTTACTTGCAGAAGGGGGGGTCAACAGTCATGCAGCAGGGAGGGCACTCTGTGCTCACACCTCCCCGACAGCCTCCGGGTGCTTCTGCCGCAGGTGTTTGTCCAGGGTGGCACGGAGGCCGAAGGGCACGCAGCAGTGGGGGCACTCGAAGCGGGTGCTGCCGGGCCCCAGGCCGTGCATGCGGCGGTGGCGGTTGAGCTTGCTGCTCTGGGCGCAGGCGTAGGAGCAGAGCTCGCAGGCGTAGGGCCGCTCGCCGGTGTGCGAGCGCCGGTGCACCGTCAGGTTGCTGCTGTTGGTGAAGTGCTTCCCGCAGAACTCGCAGCTGCCCCCAGCCCCGCGGCTCTTACCCACTGACTTGGGCATCTTCTTGGGTGACGTCTTCTGACTGTTTGCAGGGTCGATTCTCTGTTCCTCCTTGCTGACAGCTCTCCAACCATCCCCACCAGGGCCTGCTTGTGCCCCTCGGCCGGGAGCCCCAGGCTCCTGGACACCGGCCGTGGCGGCGGCTCCAGCCCCCTCGCCAGCGCTGCACTGGACGGTGCTGGCTGGGGCCGCGGCATGGACAGCTGGCTCCGGGGGCGCTGCGGAGGCCTGCTCCTGGCTGGTGTCAGCCATGCGGGGGCTCTGGGGCAGCAGCTGCCGGTGGGTCTTCTTGTGGCGGTTGAGCTTGCTGCTCTGGGCGCAGGCATAGGGACACTGGTCGCAGGCGTAGGGCCGCTCGCCAGTGTGCGAGCGCATGTGCACCTTGAGGTTGCTGAAGGAGCTGAGGGTCTTCTTGCATACGAGGCAGGTGGGGCTCCGCCGGCCGAGGCCGTTCACCTGGGGGCCCTTGACCTCAGCTGCCGGCCCCACCACCGCCGACACAGCTGCGGCCACTTCGGCCAGGCCCAGCAGTGGCGCCTCCGGTGCCTCCGATTCCGTCTGGTAGATGGACAGTCCGTGGTCCCACTGGGCGTGGCGCAGCAGTTTCCAGGCCCTGGTGAACTGTCTGCCGCAGCGGAGGCAGTTCAAAGCCTTTAGGTCCTCGTGTTCTGGAGAGAAGAGAAAGGGGCAGGGTGTTAGTGCTGATGGACAGAAGAGCCACAGTTCACAGCTGGCCCCTTTCAGTGGGACAGGCTCTGTTCCAGGGCCAGAGGACTCTGCAGTTAACAACAGACGACAAATGCCCTGGAAGGACCAGGAAGCTGATGTTGGGAGGAGGGTCAGGCAAAGAAAATCTGCAAATACACGAGGATTTGTGCTTGAAAATCTTCAAACAAATTCAGGGAGTGCTTTCTATGCATTAGGTGCTGTGCTGTGCCTCAGCTCACTCAATTTTTCTTCAGGACAGGAAATAATACCTCCAGATGGGAAACTGAGGCACAGAGAGGCACTTCCCTAAAGATCACATGGCTTGAAAGTGGTGGAGCTGGGATTTCAATCCAGATTCCTGGGGGAGGGAGGGGGGTGGAGACCAGGTGTTCAAAAAAGGATTTTTGGGGCCGGGCGTGGTGGCTCACACCTATAATCCTAGCACTCTGGGAGACTGAGGCAGGCAGATCGCTCAAGGTCAGGAGTTCAAAACCAGCCTGAGCAAGAGTGAGACCCCCATCTCTACCATAAATAGAAACAAATTGGCCAACTAATATATAGAAAAAATTAGCCGGGCATGGTGGTGCATGCCTGTAGTCCCAGCTACTCGGGAGGCTGAGGCAGGATTGCTTGAGCCCAGGAGATTGAGGTTGCTGTGAGCTAGGCTGATGCCACGGCACTCACTCTAGCCTGGGCAACAAAGTGAGACTGTCTCAAAAAAAAAAAAAAAAAAAAAAAAAAGACTTTTGGTTTAATAATAACAGTAAAAATAGCTGCAGAGAAGACTTTAACAGACACCCGGTGAGGAGGTGAGGTAGTGACCTGGGTCCCCCACCCTCGGCATGGATCCCAGATTGATAGCACCCCAATTTGATTTTGTTTTCTCTAGACCCTTGAGGTTCTTTCAGTGGACACTTCCCAGACCCCACCTGCCTTTAGCTTTTTAAATCCTAGGAAGTTTTGTGACCTTGGGCAACCAATGCCCCGAGCCTGTTTCCTCAGCTGTTAAGATTATGGGGATCCTAGGGGTCTCGTCCCTTTATCGGGGTTGTTGTGACCTCGAATAAGGAATAGGTGAGGGGTTTGGTCTGTGTAAGCTCTCAATAAACATTAGCTGAGCCTAGATGCCAAGGTGTCCACCGTTCTCCAAGTCTAAGTCTTGTCCTGTCTTGTTCCAGTGATTCCATCACAGGCCACCCTCCCTGCTCCAGCTTTAAAGCTGATTGAATCACAGCCCCTCCTGTCTCCCACCACTGGACAGACCCTCTCTGGCCCAGCCCTGAATCCCATTTCTCAAAAGTCCTGGGAGGCTGAAAGTTTATAGGGTTATTAGATAAGCCCCACAGCCGATGCTGACCAAAAAGCTTGCTCGCTGTGGGTCAAGCCTCATGTGAAGGGTTTAAATTCCCTGCCAAGAGAAGGAACCCAGATGTCCGGCATCCAGGACCTGACTGCAACCAGGGGCTTCCCAGCACCTAGCGCTGGGAGATTCCATCAAGGAGGGAAGCCTCAAGCCCTTTACCTGGCTCTGAACGACAGTTCCAGCACCTCAATCAGAAGTGATAAAGAGATGGGAGGGGGTGACAACGGTGAATCCAGCTGGCCTCCACCCCTCCTCCCCCAGGCCGCTGCCCTCCCCAGAGGTCCCTGTACTGCCACCCGGGGTCCAGCCACCTGGCCAGTTTATTTCTGGCCAAGGGGAAGGAGAAGTGAAACCAGATTGGGGGTGTGTGTGGCAAATCCCCAGGCCAGTCTTCTGGGGCTGGCCACACCCTGTGGGCGGCCCTCCTTCCCTGCCCAGCCCCCCACCCCCACCAGTCCCAGCCCTAGGTTGGGCAGGACCTGGCCACGCCTAGGGTGGCCTAGGCTGCACCCGGTGGGGAGGAGAAAGGGGAAGTAATGCTCAGTGCCCTGCCGTCCAGCTCAGCCCCTCTGCTGCAGGAAGTCCAGCCCTTGAACTTGAGAGGGGGGCTGCGCCCCGCTTCACTCACCTGAGCTCTGGCAGGGGCTGGGGCCTCTTAAGAGTTGACAGCCCAGCTTCTTGTGGTCCATGAAGGCGGTGATGGCCTCCAACGGGAAAGTCTGCAGGCAGCGGCCGCAGGTCAACAGATCTGGGTGTTTGTCGGCCCAAGGCTGGCGGTCTGCAGGGAGGAAGCGGGTGGTGAGCGTGGGGTGGGGCCAGGATGGGGGCTGGGGGTTCCGAGGGAGAGGGGAAACCCGAAGGTCAGAAAGGGGGGCCTGGGGGGAAGGGCCGGGCGAAGGAGATAAGGCAGGGACAGGGATCCGTGCCCAGAGGAGGGGGTCCCACCCGCGGGTCCGAGGGAAGGGTGGCTGGGCTGGGGCAGGGGCGCGGAGCACTCACCGGGAGAGTTCGGGGTCAGCGGCGTCCACAAGGCCCACGAGCTCCGCGCGCCGAGAGCGTGGAGGGCGGCCCCGGCGGGCACGGGGCCAGGAGAGCCGCGGGGCTCGCCCCCGAGCCGCCCCGACGCGGGCAGCTCCTGCGGGGAAAAGGGCCTCGGCCATGGGGCCTGTAGGGGCCGAGGGTCTGGCTCAGGCTTCACGTCGATGACGAGGTCCGGCATCTCCATCTCGTAGTCTGGGCTGGCGGCGGGCTCGGGGTCTACTCGGCGGGGCGCGCTGCCGGCCTTGCGGCGGGACATGAGTCGCAGGCCGGGCGAGCGGGCAGGCTGGCGGGCGGAGGACGCGCGTTCCGTGCGCGCTCAGGCCGAGGCGCTCAGGTGAGTGACTGCGGCGACCCGCCGGGAACTCTTACACGTGCTGGCCGGGCTCGTGGCTCCGCCCACCGGGGCGGGGCCTACTGGGAGGGGACGGGACGGCCCCGCAGGGGCTCTGCCGCCAGCCAAGCTTAATCTAGGCGGTGTCCTCTGCGTTTGGCTTTGGTGACCAAACTTAGTTCCCACAACAAGGCGTAGAAACAGCTATTCCTGATCCCATTTTACGGCGGGTGCAACTGAGGCACATGATGCCCACACACAGCCCCAAGCGGGAAAATGGTAGGCCACGCTTAATAGGTGCCCAAGAGTAATCTGGACTATTCCATTAAATGCATTGCAATAAAAATTCATTCTGCAAACATTTATGGAGCGCCTCCTGTGCACCAGGCTCTGTTCTAAGCACCGAGGATGCGCAAGAACACAAAACAAACAATAACTCCTGCCTTCACGGAGTTTATACTGTGGGGGAGACACTGTAAACAAGATAACTTCACGATGACAAGTGCCATGGAACAAAATAAAGCTAGGAGAGGGGACAGGGTTGCTGGGGTGGGGGGACTTCAGTTTTCTCCCCGATTCCCCGAAAGGGCACGGTGGAACTGAGACCTGGGGTTAGGTGAGGGAGCCAGCCAGTGAACCTGGGCATTCGGGAGTAACTAGGAAGGGGAGGAAATGAGGGTGGGGGATTGAGTGCGGTGAGGGGAAAAAAAAAAAAAAAAAAGGCACATCACATCCGGAAGGGTCTTTTGACTATTTTAAGGTCTTTTGGTTTTCCTGAGACAGGAGCCTTGGAAGGGTTTTGAGCAGAGAGGGGTGTTATCATATGCATCTATGCTGTTCCCAGACCTGGAGTCGTCATTAAAACCAAACAGCCAAGCACCTCACCTGCCTCCACTCTGGCCCCCTTGAACTTGCCCGCTCTTAGCAATTCTCTGTGCTCGCAGCAATTCTCTCTGCTCTCCGTTTGAAGTGGCATTGACACCCTGCCCCACCCTCAATCTTTTACAAGTGTTCTTTTCTTCCTGGCACTGACCACATGATAGCATAGAACTGTTTGTGACTGTCCTCCCCCCCACACACACACACACAATGCAAGCCCCCTGAGGTCAGGGCCAGAGTCTGTCCCCCCCCTCCAGGTGTCCCCAACCCAGATGCTGATTTCAGATGCTGATCACTTGGAGTTCTACGTATTGTTATTCAGGTCTCCGCACAATTGTCCTCTTGAGAGCAGAGGGCCCTGACCAACAACTATCTAAAGTAGCCCCACCCTGCTGAAGGCCTTGCAAATTACACTAGATGACCTCTATCTGTCCCCAGTTCCCTCTTGGGCCTCAGTGTTCCCGTCTGTCAAAAGAGTCAGAGGAAGTTGGAAACAGGGTTAACTGAAGTGGCTTCTTTATAAATACGACCTCCAGGCTGGGCACGGTGGCTCACGCCTTGTAATCCTAGCACTCTGGGAGGCCAAGGCGGGCGGATTGCTCGAGGTCAGGAGTTCGAAAACAGCCTGAGCAAACCACCCGTCTCTACTATAAATAGAAAGAAATTAATTGGCCAACTAATAGATATAGAAAAAAATTAGCCGGGGCATGGTGGCGCATGCCTGTAGTCCCAGCTACTCGGGAGGCTGAGGCAGCAGGATTGCTTGAGCCCAGGAATTTGAGGTTGCTGTGAGCTAGGCTGACGCCACAGCACTCACTCTAGCCTGGGCAACAGAGTGAGACTCTGTCTCAAAAAAAATAAATAAATAAATTTAAAAAATATGTAAATGTGACCTCCTGTGATCATTTAATTTTAAGCTCCCCCAAGACTGCCACTCAATATCACATTGCCCCATGCGGATTGCTCAAGGTCAGGAGTTCGAAACCAGCCATCTCTACTAAAAATAGAAAGAAATTAATTGGCCAACTAAAAATATATAGAAAAAATATGCGGGGCATGGTGGCGCATGCCTGTAGTCCCAGCTATTCGGAGGCTAGGCAGGAGTCGCTTGAGCCCAGGAGTTTGAGGTTGCTGTGAGCTGGGCTGATGCCACGGCACTAGCCAGGGCAACAGAGTGAGGCTGTGTCTCAAAAAAAAAAAAAAAAAAAAAAAAAAATATATATATATATATATAATCACATTGCCCTTATTTAATTCTTTTCACATCACTTTTATCAAGTCCGGAAAGATCTTGTTTATCTATTCGCTCATTTATACTCTATCCTATCCCTCCCTCCCTCCCACACTAGAATGTAGGTTCTGTGAGGCAAGATAGGAGTCTGTCTTTTTACAAATATAGCCCCTACTCATTCATAGTTGAGTCAACGAATACTTTTGAGCTCCTACTATGTGCCTGACATTCTTTCAACAGATATTTGCAGAGCAACTGTGTGCTGGGCACCAGGCCTTGGGAGTCTAGTGGAAAGCAGAGGCCCACGGGGTCCCTGCCTAAGTGGAACCTGGTGTGGAGTTCTGGCGACTGGGCCCAGAGCAGCAAGATTCCCATTCCTCACTCAGGGCCTCAGTTTCCCCTTTTCTAAAATGGGGCTGCAGGATGAAATAATGGCCTCCAATCCATCATTGCACAGTGCACAGCCACTGCACTCTGAGTTCTTTTCTTTTTCTTTTTCTTTTTGAAACAGAGCCTTACTCTGTTGCCCTGGCTAGAGTGCTGGGGTATCAGCCTAGCTCACAGCAACCTCAAACTCCTGGGCTCAAGCGGTGATCCTCCTGCCTCAGCCTCCCAGTAGCTGGGACTACAGGCATGGGCCACCATGCCTGGCTATTTTTTTTCTATATATTTTTAGTTGTCCAATTAATTTCTTTGTATTTTTAGTAGAGACAGGGTCTCCCTCTTGCTTAGGCTGGTCTCGGACTCCTGACCTCGAACAATCCTCCCGCCTCAGCCTCCCAGAGTGCTAGGATTACAGGCGTGAGCCATTACTCCCGGCCTAAACCCTTTTGTTGGTAAGCTGCTGGTGATCAAGGTTTCATATGGAGGAGGTGGGGTGCCGACAGGCGGTAAAGGGCAAGAGTGTGTATGCATGGGGGTGGGGGTGAAAAGGCCAAGCTTTGCTCCTAACCCAGCGCGGAGGAAATCTTCCCCTCCCTGAGCCTCAGTTTATTCCTCCATAAAATGGGCATCCCTGATGCCCCCAACTCCTAGGCTGACTGATCCGGATCAAAGCGTCCAGCGAAACAGCCAGCGGGGTGGCCCCCGGGCTGTGCTCTGTGCTCGCTGACCCTGCGGGCCGGCCCGCGACCACGTGGGGCAGTGGCGGCGACGCGAGCGGAACCCAGGCTCCGCGGCTCGCGGCCCGCCCGGGCCTCTGCGGCGGGGGCGCAGGCGGAAGTGTGGGTGCCAGCAGCCGCGGACCTGGGTGAGTAAGGGCGTGCTGGTGGGGGACCGTGAGCAGGTTCCCTCCCCCCGACCCCGGCCCGGGACGCCTACCCCCGTGCAGGTCCCGGAGTGGCGGAAAGACGCGGGACAGCGCGGGCAACGCGGGCAGCGGGGACGTTTTGGCGCCGAACGCCTGTATCAGGGACTCTGGTCCCGAACACCGGCGGCGGGAAGGGCCCAGCGGATGGGGTGGGGAGCAGGGGGAAGGCGGAGTGCTCCCCCGCTCCCCCGGGAGAATAGCAATGACCACGAGAAGGACTGTAGTAACGGTGGCGATCCTCAGACTCCCGCCTTGCCTGGGGTGGAATCGCTTGCGCCATGTGACCCTGTTGGTGGGAAGAGATGTCCAGCCCCAACGCCCAGGGCGGGGTCGGGAGTGGACGCCTGGGGGCCGGGAGGACCCACTTAGTATAAGAAAAGGAGAGCTATGGGTGGCCAGGGCGGAACTGAAAGAAGACTGACCTGCCCTAGGGGCGGAGGGGAGGGGAAAGATTCCTTGCTTGGAGTTCTGACCCTTGGCGGTGGCCCCATTTAAAAAATTTGCATCAAGATGGGGCAGCCCACCCGGTGTGTGTGTGTGTGGACACGTGAGCACCTGGGTTAATTAGGTCTGGCTGCTTCGCTATTAACCGGATAATTTAGCCAGTTCCCTGCCCTGGCAACCGTTTGTCTGCTGAACTGATCATTCTTATTTTCTTTTTTTTTTTGAGACAGAGTCTCGCTTTGTTGTCCAGGCTAGAGTTAGTGCCGTGGCGTCAGCCTAGCTCACAGCAACATCAAACTCCTGGGCTCGAGAGATCCTTCTGCCTCAGCCTCCCGAGTAGCTGGGACTACAGGCATGCGCCACCATGCCCGGCTAATTTTTTTATATACATATCAGTTGGCCAATTAATCAATAATTTTTTCTTATTTTAATACGGTAGAGACGGGTCTCCCTCTTGCTCAGGCCAAGAGGGAGTTCAGGCAAGAGTTCAAAACCATTGAACTCCTGACCTTGAGCAATCTGCCCGCCTCGGCCTCCCAGAGAGCTAGGATTACAGGCGTGAGCCACCGCGCCCGGCCATCATTCTTATTTTCTTATGGGTTCGAGGCCCCAAGGAGATGAAACCTACCATTGACCCACGTGGTGGGCTCTTGTGTCTACAGACAAGTTTTCCAAGTAGTAGGAGATGGGTTTGAACATTTTGTTTCCCTGAAACCTTCCTAGTAAATCCCTGGCTTGGAGATTTGGGATAAAGGTCTCTGCGGCCAGGTCACCAGGGAGAATGGATAAGGCCTGCCTTTCAGTTCTTGGGCCACACCCTGTGTGACCTTTCTCAAGGTAATTTCTAGATCAGGTCATACCTTGGGTCCAAAATCTTCGTGGTCTGCTTTGTGCTGGTGGAAAAGTCTGCCTTCATGGCAGGAGAGAGGGCCCTGCTCCTTGTCAGGCCCAACCTGAGTCTGTTCCCTCTCTCTACGACTCTCTCCAGCTTGCACCCAGCAAATGATTTGGCAGCCTCCAGCTTCACTTTCTACCTTTGCAAAATGGGCATTCATCCAGGGGACCAAATCTCCCTTGTTTTTTTCCTGATGGAGAAAACCCATCCCTATACTGGCCTTCATTTTTTTGTTTTATTATAAGTTAACATAATTATAGAGATTTAACATAATTCTTTGGCCACTTGCTTAATTCCCATCCTTATTAAGTGCTAATCCTGGAGACTAGGGTGTTTCTCTTAAAAATCTCGGGTGATAACTAGGTTGAGGGAAGTCCCGGAGCTGGGAGGCTTGACTACATCAGAGTGACGTGGTCAGATAAATTAGAAAATGTAGGCCAACAGGGTGGCTCACACCTGTAATCCCAACACTCTGGGAGGCTGAGGCCGAAGGATCACTTGAGGCCAGGAGTTCTCCACCAGCCTGAGTAAGAGCGAGACCCTGTCTCTACAAAAAATAGAAAAATCAGCCCCGGGCATGGTGGCGCACCTGTAGTCCCAGCTACTTGGGAGGCTGAGGCAGAGAGGACCGCTTGAGCCCAGGTGTTTGAGGTTGCAGTGATCTATGATGACACCACTGCACTCTAGCCTGGGGACCACAGCAAGACACTGTCTCAAAAAAACAAAAAAAAAGAAAAAGAGAATTAGGCAATGTCATATCACTTAATCCCATTCACCTAATATCAGTTAATCCCATTCACTGTGGTCTCTCCCTTTGTCCCTCATGTCTAGTCCCTGTGGGGCAGGCAGAGGGATCCTGGGGAAACCTATGCCACATCCTGTTGCCCTGCTCCGGAACTGTGCAGTGGCTCCAAGTCTCACTCGGAGTGGAAGTTCGGATCTGTCCCTGCCCCTACCTCCTCCTTTCTGGCTTCCTTGCTATGCCCCAGAGCCACTCTGCTGTGGACTTTGCATTGCTGTTCCCTCAGAGAGGAATGTGTTCCCCATATCCCCGCATAGCTGGAGTTCCTTTTTTCATTCAGATCTGCACTCCAATGGAACCTTATCACTGGGATCTTTCCTGCTCTGCCTTCCTGGAAACCACCCTCTGCCCCCCAGGCTGGGCCAGCTGTCCCCTCTAGGCTCCTTCATTCCAGCCCTGCCCACTCTGGGTCATCACTGTCCTGGGGACAGGTTGGTGTCTGTCATTGGACTGGTGA